GGTAGACCCTACAAGAGCACGACCTTCAAAATTGATCCGGACGCGGTCCCCGCGGTCGCGCGAACTTTCACTCTATGATAACTTGTCGCACCGTAGACTGCGGACCTGCTGCCAACACTTGGCGAAATTCCGTCGGGTTGTCGCAAATTCCAGTCTGCATTCCAGACCTGTAAGGAGTACCCCATTCCCCGGGCAGGCCAGGCAGACCATAGCATGACTGTTTTAGGCGACAAGAGTCTGCCCGGTTGACTGGGCAGGCGCAGCAGTCAACCGTGCACCCGTTGAGCCTGGGAAGGTCCCCGGCGGAGACTTGATCAGCCGGGCAGACTCATGTCGCCTAAAGCAGTCATGCTATGGTCTGCCTGGCCTGCCAGGGGAATGGGTTACTCCTTACAGGTCTGGAATGCAGACTGGAATTCCGACGGAATTTCGCCGAGTGTTGGCAGCAGGTCGGCAGTCTACGGTGCGACAAGTTTTCATAGAGTGAAAGTTCGCGCGACCGCGGGGACCGCGTCCGGATCAATTTTGAAGGTCGTGCTCTTGTAGGGTCTACCAAGAAGGGGGTCTTGCAAGGGTCTTGCAAGACGTGCTGTAGAACCGTCCCCGAAACGGCGTCCTTCTGCGCAAAATGCACCGGCGGATACAGTTTCGAACGGGTTTGAGGAGCCTAAGACCGGCAGCCGTCGGCGTTGGTCAGCAGGATCTGTATATGCTGCGGTCAGGGTCACATACGCGATCAGGAAACTAGGTATATGCATATTATATTGCATTGGAATTGCCGGTGACAGGCAAATGATGCAGCAGGCTGCAGGCCACACCTTCCCCTGTGCAGCCATGAAGGGGACCAGAGAATGCAGCACTCCTATGCACACATCGAAGCTGTCAGGTGCAAAGCACCTTTTCTGGCTGCTTCTCACCTGTCCGTTTCAGAAAGTCGCACGTGTTTTCATAGGCCTGGCTGCAGTCCATTTGTGCTTCCCTCCGTGGGTGGAAGCAAGGGAGCTGCAGGGTTGTTGATGGGTTCTCGCACTGTGCAGGCGGCGTCCTTCTTTGCTAGAAGGTGAGAATAGATGCTGGGTGACGATGTCAAAGTGAAGCATAAGCAAATGTTTCATGAAAGAGCGAGGGAAACAAGTTTGCATGGAAGAAGTTCCTTCGAGCGGAAAATGAATTGCACGTACAGCATTTCTGGTTCGTAACCATCTATTGGATCTTCTTTTCCAGAAACGGTCCAGGTATTAGGAGCCTCCGTCCTCCTATCCGGTCTGGTTTCAGACCAGACCCACCAAGTGAGCATTCCTTTTTTCTTTCTTGCCTTACTCCCAACATATCAAGCAGATTCCTCTGTGAATGGGACTTGGAATGAATGAAATCATAAGCTGTGGCGTCGTGCTTTGTGATACTGCAAGCGCTGTGTGATTACTAGCAATGATGCATCCGCAACTTCTTCAATGCTGTAGTAAGCAACGGGCACTGTTTGATCGACGCTTCTCCTCCAGCTCCCTCAAAAAGGAAGCGCGCGCCAACTGGCATCATGACTTGGGAGGTCTTCAAGCTGGAGAAGCAGTACACGTTCTATGGGTCTTTCCACCAGCACCAATACAACAAGGCAATCCACGTGGTCTTTGTGTGGCCCATCCTGTTTACGGCCTTTGTTCTGCTGGCGGGAATCCCTGCCTCACTTCCACAGCCTGGGTTCATCCAGTCCATGCCTTTGCATCAGTACCTGCAACTCAATCTGGCGCTGGCTTCCGCGGTGAGTTGCTTCTGTCACTTCATTGAATCTACTTTCGAATGGACCATAAGTAGACAGTTGGCTGGTCGCCAGATGATGAATACCTTTAATTTCTTCATTTCAATCTTGCAGTGGCCTCATTACTCTTTGGTTCGCACAGCTTCCTTTCCGCACTGTTGGATTTCACAAGTTTGTGACACATCGTTATGGTTCATTTGCAGGCCAATTATGCAATCTATTACATCATATTGGACCAGAAGCTTGGCCTCATTGCAGCAGCCATGAGTCTCGCCTGCGGGGTTGGTGCGAATGCATTTGTCATGAACCTAGGCTGGAGCCTAGCGTGGAAGGTGGGCCAACAATCTCTAAGCTCAATGCATTGATTCTTGTGAAAGGTTTACAACTCTGAGAAGTTGCTAAAGTTCTGAGTCATCTCTTGTTGCCTGTCTCCCGCAACCCAGGAGTTGGCCTCTTCTCAAATATATTGCACTATGATAGCCTGGTAAGGCAGTCATCTTGGGCCTTGTGAAAGACCTGAACTATTCCTGGAGTCCAGCCCCCATATCACGCCGTAGACCTACCATTGGTCTCTTAACCCATACCAGATAAGCAATGCTTCCTCCGTGAAAATTAACGTGCCATCTTTGAAGGTTTGCCTTTGCGTACAGTTTGCCATGGCGGTCCAAATCATCAGCTGGGGGGCTCAGTTCTTGGGCCATGGCGTCTTTGAGGTAAGCCAGAAAAACCATCTCGTCTTCGGGGATCCCTCCACAGTCGTTTGCCATTCTACCCATCTCTTCTTTGCCTCGACTCCAAATTCCATTTCACCAATACTCAGGTGGCTCCTTATCCTGGTCAGCCTTCATACGAGACAAGTTTTATGTACCCCTCATGCAAAAGCAGACTGTCGACTTTCTGTTTTACTCACTAAACGACCTGCAAACAACCAGGAACGCGTGCAGCCCTTTGAGAAGCAGCCTGTATCTTTTGCAGGGCAAGCGGCCCGCGCTCGTGGACAATCTGATTCAGTCTATCATGATGGCCCCCTACTTCGTCCTCCTCGAGTCAGTTGAACCTCTCTTTGGTTACGAGCCAAGCCCAGGCTTCTCTCAGCGGGTGCATGCAGCCCTTGAGGCAAAGAACCAGGCAGAGAGGGAGCAACGAGAGAGGTGAGCTTCACGCTTAAGCTCGCTTCCTGAGTGCTGTACGATAGGAGGTGTGATCAGGAACTCGCATGGCTCATGCAGTGTTCGATCACAAGAAGTTGGTGGACTGGAAATGTTCGGGCTAGTTTCAATCTGGTTTATTGAGTCGTTAGAGTGTTTGCAAGTGGTCAAACCAACGTTACCTTGTGCCGTGCCTTTCTATGGTAGGGGGAAACGTCTTAACAGCAACAGAAGCCGCACTACAGTCAGGAAGCGGGTGCCTTTCCAGTCTCTCTTGCAAATCTTTGCAGTGGACGTTCGTTTAGCTCTCATGAAGACATTCACTTGGCTCAGTTGTGCTCGTCTTGGTTTTCTGCAATCGTCTGAAAGCGAAGGCAGTCGCTTACCCTGTATACTGCTGTTGCAGACTGGTTTCTTGAGTGGACACCTTGACTACTTATACATCTTGTAGATAGTCTCAGGAAGTTTGCTTGTATATAAACTCATTATATTAGCACGCGGAACCGTTTCACAGAAGGTCATAGAAGTCAGTGATCGCCGGCTGTTGACAGACTTGTATAGTGGACAGTAATGAGTGAGCTTTCGGCAGTTGTTCCCAGCAAATTTTGAGTTTCTGATTTAGGTTTGCTGGGAAAGTGCTCTTCAAGCTGGCTGTACAATCAGAGCAGCAAAATACGTTATGCATATATAGTTCCGTTGATTCGAGTAACTTTTTCTCCGGGAACATGCGTCCTTCATGCACTCAAAAGTTGTGCCATGAATTGCCCGCCAGTCTAACCACTTCTAGACCCAGCCTACGGTGTTATAGGCACTTCAGTGCCAGTTCGCAGACATTTGCGAACCCTCGTGCAGCTAGCCTATATGTGTGTACGTACCTTCATGCATCAATGCCCCTGAATATGCAAGTGCTTTGTTGATTCAGGGCTCGCAAGTGAATCCATGTTTCAATCCAGCTTAAGATGCAGGAATTTCCTCGAATGCAACCATACCAATCATGCACACAGCTTCGAGGCCGGGGCCATGCATGCCGTCGCGCAATGTAAATATCTGGGGTACTTTGAGAGAAACGCTTTCGGAATGTGCAAAGCGAATGTTGAAAGGTATACGAAAGTCGATTCTAGCTTGTACTTTTACATGTGCCTTCGAAGAACAAGGGTTGCAACCCCTTGCGACATGCGCATGGGATGACAATCGCTATCTGACCTATGCGCTCACATTGTACAAATGTGCAGTGACGGGTCCATACAAAATTGCAGCCGAACCAGAAAACCTGCTCAGGAAGTTCGTCCCTCCCGATTCAAACTGCGATGGCGCTGCAATGCAAGAGTGCCACTATGTACACCTATCAAACACGGACAAACACACTGCTACGTTACTCAAAACTGGGTTATTGGGAGTGAGCAGAACTAAGGGATTAGCGACTGACGGTTTGCTGTGTTTTGAGTGACGTATCCGCAAGTCAGGAACTTGCTGTTGGTGTTAGGAACTTCAGAATCTCCTCGCTAACTCGTTCTGGTTCGTCCCAGTAGACCCAGTGAGACGCCTGCATCAAATCCATCCGGTAATCTGAGGCTCACGCTTCCGTTCTGTATTCTCGGGCAAGCAAGTGTCCACTTCAGTCCTCTTTTTTGAGTGTCGGATACCGATTGGCTCGAGAGAAACTTTCGCGTAGTTGAGCAACGACTCAAAAGGTGGTGGCGTCAAGTCATGCGGGTCGGAAGCACTTCATTTGCGAAAACGGGGTCAAAACCAAAGTAGTTCGCATGTCGAAACAGAACGATCGAAGCGCAACTAGAAACGCTGCTTGGGGGAAGCGGCAGACACCAAATCTTATGTGCAGAAGTGCTAAACCGCAAACGAACCAGATTGTGCGTGACGCGCCACAAAGGAAAAGCACTCGGCTTCGAATGCGTCTAACCCAACACAACTGTAGGGCTCAGCAGCACTTCTGTGGAAGGGTCGACTAGACGAGGCAAGGACGAAGACGCCCCTCAGGACCTAGGCAATGATACAGCGACAGCGCCAAAACAGCGCTTCACTGGATGATTGAAAGTATTGTTCGGGATTCACTCTTCGCCGTCCTGAGCTGCATAGCATAGTGCCAGCCTCTCGGAAGCTCTAACACAACCGTTTCGTAGCAAACGAAGAAAGTGGTGAGAGTATCAGATCAAATTGCGTGTCACCCAGTCGTTCTGCGGGACAACTGAAAAAGCGACCGACAATCGAAAATCGACGAGCGAAAGAAAAGAACCGCACTGACTTTCGGAATGAAGACGACTTCCTGGTTGGGCACCCGGTTCTTGGGGGGCTCCGCGAGCTCCTTGCCCATGGCCGTGTCGTCCTCCCCCCAGATGACCTTCACCGGCTGCCGGATCTCCTTCCGGGGCCTCGTCCACAAGCCCTTGCTGAGAGCCCGGTAGTAGTTCAGCCCGCCGGTGAGAGCGCCGGGCAGTGCCTGGGCGTCGACGTGCCTGCAGAACGCGAAGAGGGGGATTGATCACGAGACCGGGTGATCGGGTGTGCTCACCGGAACAGAAAGTTGACCTTCATCCGTTTGGATTTGCACAAGTGTTCTTGAAGTGCATTCTGGTCGCAGAGGATCGACTAGGATGTCAATACAGACATTGTTTCGTATTAGCGATGGTATGCTAATCTTCGAGATGGGTATGGCAAACGCGTCCTGTCAACGGCCTGCTGATGACACTGCCAGTGTATACCTCTACCTACATGGAAGGTTTAACCTCGGGATGAGTTTCGAATGACTCACCGTTTGGTAAAATCGGCCGTCTGAACCTTTGTGCCCTTGAAGACCGCCTTCAACCATGAATAGCTGCGGCGAGGGCAGAAAGTAGGAATTCAAGCTGGATCCTTTTGCAATCCATTTTGAGTCTTCGAGAATTGATTTATACCGATCATCAGCAGGCTATCAGCTGGTTGCCAACCGAAGCGCCGAACAGACACAAAGAGAGATTGCCTTGCAAGCTGGACTGCTGGTCCTTGTTCTCAACTTGGTGATCTGAACGAGCATGGTGCACCTTCAAATCTCGCGGGCAACAGATAAACAACTGCTAAGTAGAAGGTACGGAGAAACGACCCGGTTGGTAAACCACGTACTTGTTGAAGCTGAGCAGCCACTCAGGCAGCCACGGGTACCCGAACAGGACTGCACAAAAGAATGACAGAACAATAACATTACACACCTTCGAAGCAGATTTCAAGACCAGCAAGCCGTTCAAGCTTTTTTGAACATGAATTCAAGGCTGCTGTTGGATAAGATGGACATGACATATCTTAACTGCTTCCCTAAGATTTCTTCATCGCAATCCACGGAACCAACTCGAATTGCCAAAAAGTCAGGCACCTGTGTGTCTCCGAGATGTGCGCCAGGTCAGAAGTAAAACTTATTATCCACGTAGAAGAGAGAGTGAAGGTGGCTCACACATATACCAGCTCCGAAAAATCTGCCTCAAGTTGCCCCCCCTGAGCGCCTTGCCAAAAACGGTGGGGTGCGGGATGTTGAGCTGGATTAATTTGATCACCAGCTCGGGGTACGTCTCAGTGAACATCCAAGCCACTAAGCCCCCCCAGTCGTGAGCCACCTGGTACGCGACATCGTGGTGAGGACTACAGCAGGAGGGAGGCGCTCAGGTTTGGAGTCCCAAAGCTCTTCAGAGACCATCAGTGGCATGTATACATTCGTGTTTCGAAGCATCGAGGAGAATTTGGTTCGAATCTAGCCTAAGAAGAGGGAAAATGCTTCTCGAGTTCGACGTCCTGAAAGGATAGCCGTGGTGGTGCGCATTTTACGGCGTTCGAAAAGGAAGGCGACTTGATCCAATCATGTCCATGTTTGAATCCACTGGTCCCTGGAAGCCTGTTGTGAAGGTCGTTTCTTGTTGAGAGCGTAATCGAATGAGTCTGCTCAATAACGATCCGTGCAGATGGATTACGTTCGTGCTTACCACATGGACTGGCTTGCCCGCTCCCAGGGCCTGCACCACCTCTCTGACGTCGGACATGATGTAATCCGCCCCGTACTCCTCAACCTTCTGCGGCTTGTCTGAGAAGTTGTACCCTGCAGCGTATAAGTTAGATGGACTTTTCAGCAGCCGAAAAGTCAGGTTTGGGGCCACAAAACAAGCCCCTCCAAGCATTGGGCTTTTTTGGTCATGTGCTTTTTCTTCATCTCAGACTGTGAAACCGTCCCTATTTGATAGCAACAAGAGCGTAAAGCCGTAGGCTTGGCAGGAAAATTGTAGAGTCTCTGTAGGCTTGCCTAACATGTCATGATTGAGCTATAGTCGTTGATGCTCCATTCAAGCAAGAGAATTCTTTTCTCATTCATGAGTGTATCTGAAAGCGGCTCACCTCGAAGGTCCATGGCAATTACATGAAATCCAGCATCTGCAAGCGCCTTCAACTGAAAAGCCCAGCTGAACCAGAACTCCGGCCATCCTGGAAAGGGGAAGAGAAAAAACCTTCTGAACATAAGGTCTAGCCTTGAGAGACATTGTGACGGAATGCTGCAAGTCTTGACCTTTGAATCACCTAGCATTACAGTCTCGTTCTGAGCTGTTTGAGGATTCAGCATAAAGATTGTGCCAGTGCTATTCTGTGCTCAGGAAGGTAGGACAAAATTTGAGAATACTAAGACAATTCAAACTCTTAAACCTCTGCTGACCATGTGATAGGTCAAGATGAGGTGGCAAGCTTCAGAGAATTAACTCGATTCATAACATGAGGTATGTCAGACAGAAGGGAAGAACTGTCGACACCAAAAATGATTCTCATCACCACATTTATCCATTCTTTCGACCATCTGAAGTGTGTGGAAGTTGCTACCATTTGTGAGGAACGCTTGTCTTGCTTTCTGTATTGTTTGATAATCAGATTGTGAATTAGCAACTTCCTCCAAAATCTACACCTCTAGTGGGTTAACTTTCTGTGGCGAAATACACTCACCATGGAGCAGCAAGACAGGCTGCCCAGGGGGCTTTCCTGTCTCGACATAGTGAATCTTCACTCCCTTGTTTTCCAAGTAGTGATGGACAACTGTGGCTCCCTCCACCTGCTCGGTTGCACCTTCGGCGGGGTACTCACTGGCCATGTCTGCAGCCAGTGCTAGGTTTCACGAAGCTGCATGTTTGAGAAAATGAAGAGGTCCTGGGAAGGCAGCAACACTTTACGCTTTGTTCAACAAGATTTCTTGCACGCATGGGGGGTTTGACTTAGGGGGTATCCCGTCAGGTGCAGCATTGTCGGAAGTCATCAAGAATTGGAGTGGCGCAGATGCCCAAAGCTGAAGAGGGCAGTTCGGCAGCATTTGATTTTAAAAGGTTCAAGATCTCTAGGGCTGCATCAATTGATGCAAGAGGCAGGTGCGCACGTCTGGTGATTGTGGCTGCTGTTAATTTACGGGGAACTTCGTACGTCAGCTTCCAAGGATGTTAGGAATAAGCAAAACCCTTTCAGCACGTTCAGAGCCCAGTTCAGAGCCCAGTTGATCTGCTTCAGAACAGTGCAATCTCGATGCTCGATTGCAGTGGCCAATGCAGAAAAGAGCTGCACAAGGATCAAGACTTACTGGAGGTGGAAGAATTTACGAATCAGGTGCCAACAACCAGGTCCCCCTGCACACCCTTACGCACTACTCTTCTCCTGAGCTGCTGCCTCCGCTTCACTCTCACCCACGGCTCTTCTGGTCGGCCTTTCTTCGAATTGCGGTGTTCACCTGGTGTTCAATGAACAGCTCGGCTGCATCATGCATCATGGTAGGGACAGGCGCAAACAAAGAAAGTGTGAATCCTCCTTCGTTTGTCTGCATTGATTGAACCAATCCTGGGCGCGATCGATAATCACGTGGCTAGTCGCCAAATCAGCATCAGAGTGACGTCACAAGAGGTCTTTTAACGATTCCTTGTCTGACACGTTGGAAGGAGAAATTTTAGCGGGAAACAACTCAAATTTGCAAAGCCAGCCTCAGGCTCAGGCTCACTAGGGAGCCGACATGTGCATTTTGCCAGAGTGGTCTGCAGGCTGGAAGGATCCTAGAGTCCTGTACCGGTATGTAGTCTGTAGATGCTGAACTTCTAGATGCAGTCTACGTAGAATGCCGGAAGTGGGGAAAAGAAACTTGTTTGAACGGCGTGGGGAGTGGTCGCCTTTGGTTCTGATCAAGTTTGAATGGATAAAGATTGTTGACGTTGACTCCGGCGCACTTTAATTCCAGTCCCTGTAGATACATCAAGAATACGAACAAGGAGAAGACACTTAAGGAACAGGTTTCGGCTATGGCAACCGGTCGATAATTTCAAACTCGAGTAAGGCCAGAGCCATCCTGCTCAGAATGCCTGCCTCAAAGCGTATCACGGCGGAAGCAGCAGGCATGAAGGCCACCACTAACCAGGCGGCAGGCATTGAATCATCAGGCGTGCCCAATAAAAAGCTCACAGGCAAAGAAAAGAAGCTGAAACGAAAGGAGGTGCGCATATGAAGAACCTTAAGACCTGACCACAACATCACATTACAAGCGCATAAAAGCAGTATGAACTGAACCTTCTGCGATTACTCACAGCAAAGTTGCGTCGGAAAAGCCTTTGCTCGAACGAGCTTTTCATATTCTTACTCCCCTGTTGACCCATGCAGACGTTATTGACCTCACGAACATTACTGCACTTTTCCAACTGATTCATTTGTTTTGTTGCAGGAGGTAGCAAAAGCCAAGGCCAGGGAGGAGACCGTCCGGCAAGCGTACTCGCGGGGCAGCATACTTGCCGAGTTCCAACCGTTCAGGAAGTTTGAGCGAAATGGTGAGGTACCTTTTTCTTGTTCTCTGAAAAATCACAACTCCCCAGACAACAAATTGGGCCGCGGTATATTGCGGCCTGCAAGAGCATGGTATCAAAAAAGTTCCATGGTGCGCACGCCTACTCTTGAATAAAGTGTGTGATTGTTTATCAGGCAGTACTCTGTTTAGCTTGCATGGTAGTATACCTGAAGTTTTTTCACTTTCGATGTGCTTGCGTTTCTTGTGTTGCCTGTTCATTTGACAAATTCTTTCAGTACTACATGGAGAGAAGAAGATCCTGGAGTCTGATGAAATCTTTATCGTTGGTATTCTTTATAACAATGATAAATGTTATGAGCAGATGCTGAGCATGCTTATGAAACTGAGCTTATTTGTGCCCTCTCGTGTTCACCAGGGCTTTCCATTACATTGGAGGAGAGGAGGGCCGAGGAGCTTACTGCAGTGGAGACGCAGTTTGTTGAGCGCCTACTTGAGGTAGGCCAGTGCTCTGAAGGTCGAGACACTGTACTCACCACGATTGGAATGTATTGTGGCATTGGACAATCTGTTTAGAGTCCCCTGTCAGGGTTTTATGTCGTGAGCAGTACTCATAAATTCACAAGCTGTACTAGTACTCCCTTGCTATCTTCATATTAGCGATCTCGTACCATCTCTCAGAACACTGTACAAATACGGTCCATAAGCTATCATGGAGGTTTGAAGCCCTTCTACATCTGCTTGGTGCAGTCGAACATGAAGAAGATCTATGGTGACAATTGGCCGAGCCAAGCGGCGACGAGGCGACAACAGATGGCGGAGCCGGATGCACTATATCTGTTCCTTCACGACAGCGCCACCTCCTGCGATGCTTCCAGCGAGGATCCTTCCACAACAGGGTCTGGTATGCTCCTACTTCTTTTCCTCATCGACAGGCAATTCTTTTCATCACGTCCATATTGAGCCCGATGTGCCTGCTGATAAGCTTCAGATCCTAAGATAGAGAACGGGCGCAAAGAAGTTAGCATAGTCGAGATAGAAACGTAAGGCTTGTTCCAAACTTCTGTCTGTAAATGTGATTGTTTCTCCTTCAAAACGTTGGGGTGCATCAGCAATGGCCATGCTCGGTTCTCGTCCTTACTGCTCTTTGTGCAGAGTTCATTTTTGTATGGAGCCCTGTCTTATCGTTAATTCCTTACCCCGCGCAGAGGATCTTGTTGGGTTTGTGCACCTGCGCTTTGTTATCGAGGAGGACGTGCCCGTCTTGTACGTGTATGAGCTGCAACTGGGAGACAAGGTGCAGCGGCATGGGTTGGGCAAGTTTTTGATGCAGCTCATGGAGCTAATCGCTAGAAAGGTGCGTTGGCCCTGTTCCATCCGGCTCATAATTTTGAACTTGCCGCAGTTGTCGAGCTTCTGTTCTTCGTCATCATGGGCAAATTGACAGTTTTCTAGGCTGCCCCTGCATTGTTCCATGCGTTCAATCAAACGTCCACCTATTGCAGAAGGAGTTCGACTTTTATCCCACACCGCGCATGCTTTGCACGATTTGTGCACTGCGATTATTGCAATCATCATATCGAAGCTCTGAGCATGTGGCCAGTTTGATTGGTTTCTGAGATGGGCATCTTAAGCCACAGTTTGAGGGCATAATTGACTGCAGATTGAAACAGATCCTAGTCAGACCCTGAATCGACTTCGAGCATCGACCTTCCTGGCTGATTAAGACGAAACAAGCTCGGCCAAGGAGGAGACCGTCCTTAGAATCTTCATGACTGAAGAAGCGTGTCCGGCTTGCTTTCTCTTGCAGAGCAGCATGAAGGGCGTCATGCTGACGGTCCAGAAACGGAACAAGGGCGCGCTGGACTTCTACCTCAACAGAATGAAGTACATAGTGGATCCCATCTCGCCCAGCAAGTCACACCCGCTGGCCCAACCCGAGGACTACGACTACGAGATTCTCTCCAAGGTGAAAACCTTCTTCTAAAGCTATGCGCGGAGTAGGAAGGTCTGCGCCCAACCCTCGGAGTGCTCTTTCAAAATCACTTTGTTGGTTGGATTGAACCGGCCTCATACGGGAGGATAAATAAGTGACGGCCAGCCCTCTTTTTTGAGAGGGCTCAGAGGTCGGTGTTAAAAAGCACCCATTCCCTCCTTACCTCTGGATTGCTTCTCATCCTAAGATCGGCACTTTCGAGATAAGTATGGAGGACATGCCCAAGCGAAAGCTGAACGAGGTTTGAAACTTGGAATCGAATCACGTGGATCTAAAGAGGAGAAACCATGATACTGAATGTAGTGGAGAGTCCGCTCATCAACCTCACCGGCGCCATTGACGATGCTCATGCAGATCCATGATCCAGAAACGAAGCAGCACTTGGAGGAGCGATGCAAGCTGGCGCAAGCAGCCTGGCTCAGCGAAGGCTATTAGCAGCCCTGAGATATAACCGTTGAAAGTGGAGCGAGGTTGGGTTTCGACATGCACAGTCAAGCCGTACCCTCCTTGCGGGACTGAAAGACGCTGCTTTGATTGATATTCGAGTTGTTCAGGTCAAATTTGAATTGGCTTCGGTTCGGGTTTCCGTATGTGCCGCATAGTGCTTCCATTTTCTAGCGGTTTGAAGGGGGCATGGCCCCCATACGGGCGAGGGATCCCCTCGTCCTCCGGAATGTACGCATTTGGTCTAACTTCGGCTTGTGTATGCAAAGGGCGTGATTGCCGCATGCCACCCTCAATATACGTGGGCTCCTCTTCCTTCTCATCCTCCATCTTTATCCGCATCTCTTCCACCGTCCGCTGCTCGCGCTCCAGCCGCATCCATTCACGCTCGGCGCTTTCGTCTGGCGCCTGCAGACACGGGAGAGAAATCATGTCAGGAATGAATGTGGTGATCCTTCTGCTCAGGAGCGAAAGGCCTGAACGCTCCAGGAAAGTACAGGCTATGAAAACGAGATGCATACTGATGTTATGAAACACAATTGTTCAACGTCTGCACTTCATTCGCAAGCCGCCGGCGCGTGAGTATTCGGCCCATGGCCAAGACAAGGTCGAGCACGGCTCGCGCTTGTGTACTTACCTCCCCGGCCTCAAGTTTTTGCTCCGCCAGCTGTACATGTTCCGCCAGCTTCGTCCTCTCCTCTTGCAGCTTGATAGCGCCGGCCTGCATGGGGCAAAACGGGCGCTCTGAAACGCAGTACCAACTCACAAATAGCGGAATCTACCCAATAACAGCCCGGTCATGTGTATCTCAGTGGATGCGCACGGAATTTTTAGTGGCCCTCCGCATCGAACGAATCATCTTCTTGTTTGTGGTACGTCACCAGGTGCTGGTGGACCGCAACCTCCCCTTGATATGATGGGCAGCACGGATTGGGCGTTCCGGAGCAACGGGAGGATCCACCAAGTTCACTAGAGAGGGGATTTGTGCATGTCTTTTCGGCAACCGCCTCGTGCTTTTGAGTGATGATCTTTACCGAGCGGACACTCATCCTTGTAAGGCAGCAAGAGAACACCGACGAAGTTATCTAATATACGAGCTCAAGGCGCTCGATTAGAAGCAGCCAAAGAACGATAGCAAAATCCACAGAGCCGATGAAACAACTGAGTAAACAACGGGCGGTCCTCAGGCTGCGAGACAGCCAGCTCGATGCCGCTCAGACAAGACAAACAGATGTACACGCTTGGGGCCGCACCTGATAGAGCGAGAGCTCTGACACGGTGGCCATCATCTTGCGGGTGATCCCCCGGATCTTGTGCTGGTAGCTGTTCACCTCCATCGCTAGTTGCAGCGCCCCGTCCTTGCCGTCCGTCACGCTCGCGCGCAGCTTGTCCGAAAGGCTCGTCACCTGGAAGAGGGAGGACACCTTTCGATAAAAACCTTCCGCTTCATGAGATCGTCCATCAACCGGGGAAGTAAGCAGAGCTAGCATAGCGCATGGTCGAGGAGCCCTAAAGAATGTGCGAACGACATGAAATGAGATCATGAGGCTTCTCTGCAGCCATTTGAGCGGCCTTTCGCCCGCACTCTTTCTCGCCGATGTCTGAGAGCACCACAGTCACCAAATATCCCCCTTCCCGACGATTTTTTGGATCCCCAGTCCACCGAACCACTACAAGCGGGCCACAAGAGCTCCCACAGCTCCTCTCCCTTCCATGCAAAAACGGAAGAGCGGAAAAAATACTTGTCCGAAGCCGTCAATGTTTGACACTACCTCAAACCCAACACCCGTCACCGATAACTCCAGAACTCGGAGTGTCAACTCTGGGAGTGTCAAGTCTGGCAAATCGGCGCACCTCGTCCAGGATGAGCCCCTTCTCCAGGATCTGCTCCTTCTTCTCACTGATGCGGTCCTCCAGTTGCCCGATCTTGACTTGCAGCTCCGCCTTGTCCGGAAGCCGCCCCTCTAGTTCCTTCCACCGGCTGTTCCTCTCCGGCATCTCCAGCGCCTCGCCCAAACTGCGCACCTTCTCGCGCTCCGCAACCACCTGTCAGAAAAGGAACGAAGATCCTCAAAACGTTCATTCCTGGACTTGGAGTCTTCAACAGATATCTACAATGGTTAGTGGGCCTTGGATTTGTTTGCCGCAGATTCCTAAAGAGGGCTCTTCAGCATGTTGACTGCAATTCCCAAAGATCCCAACCACCATGTGCTCAAACAAATCAATCTTGATCAGTCTTCTATGCGTTCACCGGAAGGTGACCGGTAGAAAGTCGGCTTTATGTAGCCTTTTCTTAGGGTTTGGTGCGACTTTATTTATCTGGAGCCCAAGAAGAGGTCCTGATTCTCAAGGGCAAATAGGATAGAATTGCTGAGCTTTCACTTGGCAAAGAGGCGCCGTAAAATCGCAGCCTTCGAGTGCTGTATTGAAGGAGTGTCTTACGACCCCGACAAAGTCTTCATACCTGGAACAAGAATTAAACACCATGACCAGCAATGAATGCAGGACAGGTTCTGATCAAGGAACCAGGACCCGGTATCAGAAACCGGACTCGATTCTAAACCACGAACTACAGAACCAGAGCTGCGAAAGCGCCGCACCTCGTCCTTCAGGTCCGCAATCTGCTCGTGCAGCTCCGGCACGTGCGGGCATTTCGTCTTGGTGACGTCAGCCTGGTAGCGCGCCTCCTTGAGCTCCAGGTGCAGCAGCCGGATCTCGTCCTCGCGCGCGGCCAGCTCCACCGCGCCCGCCTTGAAGATGTCGTCCTGACGGGAAGGAACAGTGACAGGTTTGTAAGCCGGGAGAATTAAAGACGACCGCCCGCTTTGAAATTGTCGGCCTGGGAAGAAACTGGATGGGAAGATGAGAAGGAAAGCTGGATGAGTTGCTCTGGCCATGGGGAAAATGTTTAGGAAAGGGGAGAATATCTTGGAAGGCAGGAAAAGAAGAACGAACGCGAGAAAATGAAAAGGAAGTGAAAATAAACGCATTGCATTCATCAGCCGAAAGATGTTACGCACACCAAAGATAAGGGCTCGACCACTCAATAAAAGTAGGTTGTGGCAAGACGAAACCACAGCTAATCTTTTGGTTCTCAAAGTTAATTCTCTCGGCTGTGCGTTCACTACCCTTTTTACTCCTTCGTGTGTACTAGCTCTAAGTTTCCTATGCTCGTCGAGTTTCGTTTCAAGGCATGTGGTTCTTGAATCATTGCATATCAATGATCGCGGGGAAAGGCAAATCGCGCTTGAGGCAACGAAGAAATCTTCCAGATACAGCAAAATTCTCAGATTCGACGTCAGAAGCTCACCAGTACGTTGGCCTTTTCGTAAAGAATGGCGATCTCGTCGCTGCGGTCGATGAGCGTGACTCCTATCGCGTCCCGCGCCTCGATGGCGCCCTGGTACGCCCTCCGCAGCCGCAGCATCTCCTTCTCCGCGCTGTTGATGATGCTGCTCAGCGTGTCGATCTGGCTGATCTGCTCGTCCACCGTCACCTGAACAAGACGGGTGTGGAGGTTTTCGACAGGTGGAGAAAAATGGCTGCTGACAAGACTTAGTTGGTTGTCCTGAGTCAGTTGTTTAAATGGAACCAAACACAATCTGGCTGATCTGCTCGTCCCGCAAAAATGGTGAAGAAGAACCGTTTCCGGGGTTACTTCAAAACTTCTATCAAAGTTTGGGGGTGACGATTGAACACAATGAACGACACTGGGCCGATTCGATTGTTCCGGTTTGAAAGACCCCCATCATATCGGAAGGGCTCATGCAATGAGCAGAAGGGTTGAACACTCCATGCGAAGTCTGCACTCCTCTCTCTCAGCACTTTCTCAGGTCCCTCTGAAGTCGAGCTGTTCTTAGATACTTGAGATTTTCAATGTCATTACGGACATCCATCCAGAAGCGTTACTGCCAAAGCTTCTCATCTCTTACGAAAGCCGACGTCAACTCATACAACCAGCCGAATCGTCTGCTTAACAGACCAACCCACACCCTGCAAAAACAAACCAAATCGAAACCCAAACCCAAACCTTAAGTGAAACCCAGACCGATTGCCCACCTGTTTCGCCCGCAGGTCCGCCACGAGCTCCTGCAGCTGCTGCCGCAGCGCGTCGCGCTCCGCGAGGCTCGTCGCGTGCGTGGCGCGCGCGTCCGCGAGCGCGCGCTCCTTCTCGGTGATGGAGCGCTTCAAAATGTCGATCTCCGCGCCCAAAATGGTCAGCTTCTCGCGCATCTCCGCGATGCCCTGCGCCGCGGCCTGCGAACGGAAAAGAGCGCCAGAAACAGTCAGTTCACTAAGAGGATTGAGTGACTCACATTTCTGGGGGAAGCAATTCAAGCTGGCCATTAACCCTTTTGCTGGGGACCTGCGTTTGTTACGAATGACCACACAAACGCTTCCCAGCCACGCACACTGCGCTCCAGCAACAGGTGGGTTCCGACGCATTCTAGAACCTGTACAACATCATGATCGTCAGTCTTCGAATCTTTTGGTTTCCACTCGAACCTCATCCGAAGCAATAGTGATCCAGAGTCCGCTCCTAGGCAGTGCTGGAGAGTCAGAGTCAGAGTCAGAGTCAGAGTCAGAGTCAAAGTCAGCTGGTTTCTCTCCGCTCGCTGACGACTCGTTATCAACGAAGCCACTCACTTGCATATGAGCTTTCGCCTCAACAGAGCCCAACACCCCAAAACCTCTTGCCCTCAAACCCTTGCCACTTCCTTCTCCCTTCACAAGTCTTCAATCTTGGAATTTTCCGACATATTGGCCATAAATCTCGATGGAGCAGAACTTTCTTCAAAAGGCTGTCCTTAAAATATTGGGCCTAGACCCTCGGAACCTTTGCGGCCGCGGCTGACCTGCGCGAGCGTGACGAAGCGGCTCCGCTGCGTGCGCACGAGGTCGTACAGCTTGAGCGCCTCCGCGAGCGCCTTGCGCCCGTCCGCCTCGCTCTGCCGCAAATCCGCCACCACTAGTTCCTTCATTTTCACCTCCTCCTCCGCCTCGCGCAGCTTGCTTAACTGTGCAAGAGAAGAAATGGAGAAACGCAAGGGTTATTTACCCATTGGCATTGAAAAAAAAAATGGAAAGCGCCTGAGCAACCTGCAGATCGAATGGTGTTACTAAGGGACCAGATTCGGACTTTCTTGGAACCAGGACCGCAGGTTGTGATTCCCCCGGAGACTTTGAACTGCATCTCGGCAAAAAGAAGGGATAGACAGCGAGCAGCTTCATTATGTCGATCTTGCCTAGACAGCGAAGGAGAACACTTCAAAGGCTGATGCAGTTCTGCACGCTTAAGCAGACACGCCTGGTCTTCCTTCCATCATTGCCCTCTTTGTATACCACGTCGACTCGTTCTCAGAAAGATGACCAGGAGGATTTGGCTGTGGCGCGCGCACCTGGACCGAGAGCAGGCGCGACGCGCGCTCGCGCTGGCTTGCCAGGTCGCCCGCTTGCGCCTTCAGCTCCTTGTCCTGCGCGCGCGCCTCCTCCATCTCTTTCTCCAGTTCCTCCACCTGCGAACAGACAGTGCCGGCGTTTCATCTTGAGGCAAGTTACAGCTTTTGCGTTGGGCGTAACAGTCTCAAGCTTCAGGTTTCTGCACGTTTGAAAGAAGGTCCAAATCCGTAGATGAAGATCCCAGGCACAAAGCGCCAGAATGATTGTCCGTCGACAGAATTTTAGACCCTAGACCAAGGTGCGTTGACGAAGACTTCACAAGCATTCGACGAGGGACCTTTAAAAGCTTGAAAATGTGAAACCCTAGAAGTCGTGTACGCTTTACCCTCTGCAGACCATTTTCTGCTTCGGTGCAGCTGCCTTGGCGCTTCCTCTCGCACTTCTGCTGATCTGTCCTTCAGTCTGCATCTCCTACAGAGCAACCAAAAAGCTATAGACATAGAAATCGACGGTTCTCCTAACATAAAGGCACGATCCGTAACCGCTTACTTCAAACCAAGGAATCTCGTCCGCTAAACCCAAACCCCCTACCTCCAAGAAGCTGGCCTGCACGACGGCGGCCTTCTCCTTGCCCACGTTCTCCTGCTTCAGGTACGCGTTCATCTGGACGTCCGTTTCCATCTTGAGCTCCTCCACGGCCGACACGTGGCGCTTGTGCTCCGCCTGCGCCGCAGTCAGGTCGCGCGCCGCCTGCTCACGCCCCATCACCAGCCCAGGAATATTCCCCTCAGCCTGCGAAACGTCACTCGCTTTTGGTCATCGTACGGATCTGGATGAAACTCAAGAAAGATAACAAACAAGCTCCGACTGACACTAAAAACCCTAATCCAAAAAGACATCTGCTCCGCCCCCATACCCACCCTAACCACGAAACTAACCCTACCCGTCCCAGTGCGGTTACCTTTCTGTTATCTCGGCTTGTTGATTCAGTTTGTTAAATCCAAGGGGCTCTAGTTGTAATGCTATTGCAAGGTCCGTCTTTTCTTGGATAGTATGGCTGTTTGCACATTTTCGAGGATTAAGTTGGATGACTTCTTTTGGATACCGCAGGTCTTCCAAATCTTGAAAGCAGCGCCACAAGCCAAAGTTCGACATCGTCCAAATCGCCCAATTCAAGTGACTTCAAAACGCATTCCCACTGGATTTGGGGAACGAAGCGGACCCTATTTCCTTAAAGAACTCGCACTGCCCCCCACCTGCTTAATGTCCAGCTCTGCCTTCTTGTACTTCCGCAGCACGGCGTCCTTCTCCTTGATGCCCCGCGCGTGCTCGTCGCCCTCCCGCTTCGCCTCCGCTGCCATCGCCTGGATCAGATTTGGCAAGCAATCAGACCAGCCCTGAGCTTTTACCGCCATGATTAGCGGTGTCATGGTTAGGGTTCGCCCTTAACAACCTTGCGTTTGTCCTGCTGAAGAGGCAGTTGCTGAGTGACCATCTGGACTCCAAAAAGCAGGATCCCACGCTTGAAAGCCCCACAGCCATAATCCCTCCAAAGCCTTGGACCTATGTTGTCCCTGGTCCCTACGGCGGTGAAGGTTCCTTGTAGCCGTATTTGATAAGGGCCACGTCGACCAACGGAAACGTGGCCGGTAACGGGTAGGGTTGTTTTTAAGTATTTGGAGCATGTCAGTTCGGGGTTTTGTTTCTGACTCTCGTTTTGGCCTTCGAGTACGATTCTCAGTCACCATGCCCTTGGTCAACAAGAAAGCGGAGACAGATCGGTGGTAGTCCCACCTGTACACGCTGCTCTAGTTGCACCTGGTCCGCCAGTATCTGCTCCGCCTCCAGCCTCGCCATCTCTAGATCCTTCCGGACGTCCGCCGCCAGGCGGTCCTTCTGATCTGCCGCCACGTGGATGCGCTCCAGCGCCGCAGACGCCTCCGTGAACTGCTCCGTCAGCCGCCGCACCTTGTCGTACAGCTTCGTCGACTCGATCTCCTGCTCGCGCATCTGGGAAACAATTCGACGCACGTCAGCATGATACTGCCAGAGCAGACCCGGAAGAGCGAGCACAGACGGAGTAAGCACCCAGTCGCGTGAGAGGCTATCATCTAGTGCATGCTGACGTCCGGCAACATTTCGGAAGCCCCGTTTGTGCCGGCAGGGGCGCTTCTAGCAGGGCGTTCAGAGCTTTCATCCAACATAGTACCCCTAAAAAGACGCCTTTTAACAAAGTATCTTTCATCATCATCCCTTCTACCACTTGAATATCCGTCCTCTACCGGCAGACCGTCGGAATCCCGGTAATTAGAAGGTGTGGATTCCCTTTTCTCCAATAACGTGCTCTCTATCAGTCAATTTCGCTTGAAACGGGTGGCCCTTCACCTATCGTTTTGCAGGGGACGAGTCACTCCGCACTTCACTTCGGGCATAAGTGACAAAACGACGAGGAGTCAAGAGACTACGTCTATCAAAACCCCACCTTGTCCAGCAGCCGGCTCTCCTGTACCCGCAGCCCCTTCATGACCGTCGCCTCTGTCTCCGCCTGCTTCCGGATTTTGTCGGGAACTCCCTCCATTGCTCGTAGGCGTTCACGCTCCCGCTCCGCAGTCTCCGCCAGCTCAGCGCTCTCGGCAACGAGCCTGCCTATTTTCGTGTGGATATCCTCCTGTTCTTTCTTGGTCGCTTCGTGCTTCAAGTGGCCCTCCGCAATGCGCGCTTGCAGCTCCTCGATCGCGTCCTGGGAGGGGTAATGAGGAAAGGTTCGCTCTAGTTGCTCTGTACGTAACCTGTTCTGGTGAAGTTCATGGAGTCTAAACCCTCTGGAATCTCTCATTCAAAGTAAGCAATATTCAATCCGGAACGCTTACTTGCCATGACCTGTTACAAGCGAATTGAATCCAACCAACTGTCTCTCTTGCAAGACTTTTCCCACCAAAAGTCACCATTTTGCATACCTCTTCAAAAGTCCTTCACTTGACGTCTCTGACCATAACACACAGCTTTCCAGCCAGCATTCTACCCCGTCAGTCCGACCACACTCTCATTCCTGGCCCACCCACCTTATGCCCACGTATCACCGGCACAAGCGCCGCCTGGTGCTCCCGCTCAATTTCCTCAATCTTCTTCTGACACTCGTCCCGTTGCCGCACCAGCTCCACATCCTCGAGCCCCAGCATCTGTTCCTTCTCCCGGCACAACGCGCACTCGACCTCCGCCTGCTCGGAGTCTTCGCGCAGCATCTCTAGTTCGCTGTTCTCCTGGTGCGAGCGCACCATAAGCTTCTCCAGCTGCAGCATGTCGTCCTGCAGCTGCCGGTTCATGTCAGATGCGCGCGCCAGCAGGCCGCGGTCGTTTGCCAGGATCACGCTCAGCGCCGAGTGGAGCTCTTCGTACCTGCCGAGCGGAAGGGACTGTCAGTCGGCTCGTGCGTAGGGGGGAGGTTTGTCTTTTCTTTATGATGCAAGATTGGTCTAATTGCAGTCGTAAAAATGTTTAAATATGATTCTTAAATACAACGCAGGAAAAACTCTGTTTTGGAAATTGGACCGTGGTTCGCATTGTTGGCCCGTTGCCAAGGCGCGCGCAGATGTCTACATGTGCCAAAGAGCTTATGCTGGCACATTTGTGCTTCTTCCAATATGCACAGTTGCGCACTGATAGGATTTGGAGGCGGCTGGATGGACATCTATTACAAGAGCACTCTGTCGTGCTTCAATGCGATGACGCTGCTGGAAAGCACGTTCTGCCACCATTTTGTCTTTTTTTGACACCGCTTTTTCATCTAGTCGCCGGGGGCTACAGAGCTCCTCTAGCGGGTTAAGCCTGGTGGCAGCTCTGATCCTCGCTCAGCCAACCGAATCTTTCAAAATACGTAATACACAACCACTTGTGCAGCCAAATGACCGGTGCCTAATCCTTTGTATTCGGCCATCGACATCCAATCGAAGCACAGTCGATAAAAATCAGCCGTCGGATCCAACGAAGCCCCCAGCTCACTTTTTCTTCCATCGCTGCGCCTTCTCCGCATCAATCTTCCCGTCCGACTGCAGCTCAGTGATGGATCTGAAGGCCAGGCTGCTCGAGACCTCGCTCGCAGCCAGCTCCTCCAGCTCGGGATCCATCCCTGACTAGACTTTGACACACTCACGCGCCTTACATCGCTCCCATATGTGCAAACCCCCTCCAACAACTTGGCAAGCCAAGTTTGTGCAGGGGGCAGCCCGAGCTGGTGGACTTGTCAACTGCTGCTCGTTCAATGAGTCGTTCTCAGGTGTGCAGAATGTACCTGATTCTAGATGTATTGAGCCCATGCCAATGGCGCCCACTGAGCTGGAGAATGGTCAATGGACGATTCCCCCGGACGGCAACCCCTTTGGCTCTGTTCACTGACGTCACTCCAAAGCGCCCCAATACGGTGGCTACCTCGACCAAATTGAAAGGTTTGCTTGCGAAGCTGGTCCAGGAATTGCAGCGAAGCTGGTCCAGGAGTCTGAACTAGGCTGCTTGTGTCCGCTTGGATGCAGAAAAGTAGACTCCATCTGAGTCTTCATGCTGCAGATGATTGCCAGCTCCCACCGTCTGTGAGCGCGCGTATTAGCTTTGCGGCATTCGTAGCCGTGCGATCAGCTGCCGCTATTCTTAGTCCAGTAGTTTGACCGTCGATCTTTGGTCCTGACCTCAAAACCATTCCCGAGCTGGACCACCATTACCATCCCGCTCCGAGTCAGCTCAATTCGAAGCCTTGCATGCATGCAGATCTGAGATCGGGAATTTGCGGACAGAGGTGATCTCACCATGCTGGCATTGCTGCTGCGTACTGTGTGAGAAGAAATGCCGTTCAGCCTCAGGGCTCTCATCAGGGTCGCAGCGGTGGGGAGCTTCTGGGTTCGCCACCTTAGGCTTCATACTTCCAAGGTGCTCGAAACGCGGAAGAAGGTTGCAAGTGGAAGGCCCAGGGAGATTGAATATGACGTTTCTTCGGCAAGAGGAATAAACGTAGAACACTTTACCTTTGAGCAGTTTAAAAAAATAGATGCAGGCGAGTTCCAGGACCTATATGACGAGCTTGTTCTCAAGAACGAAGCTAAGATCCGCACGCGTTGCAGAAAGGAAGGGCGTTCGATCAGAGCAAAGTAAAGACGTGAAGACCAGTCCTGCGCTTACGTGTATCGCGAGGCAGGCGGACGTCAAAGAAAGTTGTCGCCGAGCGATAGATGGGGCTCGGTGGCGATAAGAGGAGGTCGCTCTAAGTTGAAGAATCTAAGGCGGGAGGAGCTCGTATCGTTGTTCAAATCTGGATTGCACAATAAGTACGTCGCTAGCTGCAAATGCGCGTCCGTTGGGCTGCTAGTGGCATCTGCCGGCCTTGTGTCCAGCCTTTTTGAACATAAAGATGGCTTTTCTTCAGCATGGTGCCGCTTGCATTCGCGGGCTGGCCCCCTTTTCCCGGGTTGCAGCTGGTGTGTCAAGGCGATCCTCCCGTCATATTCCAAAGGGGGGCCAACTGGTGATTAAGGGTTCTGTGGAAGGAGGCACGGACGAGCCTTCCTTGGATCCAAAGCCGGAGAGTCTCACTCAATCTTTCCACCAGATTGGAGACAGACCAATGGTAGAGCGGGGGGCAGCAAAGAGTCAGAAGATCTCAATGGGAAGAGACCATAGCCTCCGGCAAGGTGACTGGAAGGCTAGTCAGCAAGGGTTGCAGGCAGGAACTGGAAGTCGGACCGAAGCTTTTCAGGCTCCTGCTGTGCAAACAACGAGATCAAAGTCAATAACTGACATTTATGGCCCTTATGTTCCTCCTCCCAGCATGCAAGCTGGGGAGGCTTCAGAGGCTGTTGGATCTGATAGAGGGGTAGAGCGTCTGAAGGGCACAGAAGTTGGAGTCACCACATTAACACAATCGTCCCCTGAGGTGGCTGACTTGTCTGCATTCAAGTCCAATGAGAGCATTTCAGCCGTTTCTGAGACGCTCTCTGAAACTTCGCTGCCGTCGCACCTTCCTAGGAGAGCTTCTCTGGAGGTCAACCCCTCCACAAATCTGACATTTTCAGTTGGTGTTGCACCACCCCTCTCTGCACCGTCCGATTCAGGCAACGATGCATATGCTGCATTTTCTGCTTTCGCCGTCCTTCCGCTCTTGCTCGTCTTGGTCATATCCTGGTTGACTTACAGCAGCTACCGCTCAAAACGACGACCGCTAGAGATCAGAATAGGGGGACAGGATAGTGAGCATGCGCAAGATCTAGAAAAGGGAAACGGCAGATCAAAGCATCAGAGCAGCACGCTCATTCAGCAAATCGCAGAGCGCCTGCCGCAGTTGAAAGAGGTATACAAACCGTACCCGGGGCTCACCAACCGGCACGTAGAGACGATTTTTGCCGCGTTCTTTCGGAAGCTTCCAAACGTCCGCTTCAAGAGGGAGTGCTTAGCGGCGCCTGACGGCGGCACGGTGGCCCTCGACTGGCCAATCCATGGCGGGAAGAGGGCCTCAGACGATGCGATGTGGGGCCAGGAATTGCCAGCTGGCGCTCCTGTCCTGATTCTTCTGGTGAGTCCATGGCCGGTCAGCTTCAGAAAGCTGTGGTCGCTCTTTGATTTGTCTTTGACGAGGCCGGATATCTAAACTTGGGCTTTGAGATCCAATGAAGCAGTCTATAGAAAGGGGCAACCTGCGAGGGTAACTTACATAGGGTATATGCCCCTACCGCCTGATCTCATGTGATTCGTCTTACATCATAGAATTGCAAGAGTGAACACAACAGGAGAGGTTTGGCTCCCATTATGACATCCCTGCCACCAGGTCAGATTTCATGCTCACTTTCAGCGGTCCGCAGAAGGCTAATGTCCCCCAAGTAGAGTTCCTCGAGCTCGCTTTTTGTGAAACTCTCTCTGCTTGGAGGGCCCCAGAGCAATCCTTCCCTTGTCTCTGCAGCCCGGACTGACTGGGGGGAGTGGGGATACGTACGTCCGCCACATGCTTGTGCGAGCGCGGCGAGCTGGCTTCCACACCGTTGTCTTCAACAGCAGGGGCTGTGCTGACAGCCCTGTGACTTCACCTCAGGTGAGCTCCTTGATCTCCCCGTCTTTGGCCACAGCTTGAAAGAGACTTTGCTTGATTCATTTCGAGCAATCATTAGCTTTATGAACTTTTCCCAGTAGCTCGAGTGTGCATGGCACCAGTCGCTGAAATCTTATGTTGGAATGCACACTCAGATATTATTTTTTTGAAACTTTCCAAACAACACTTCGGGCACACGGCGTTAAGGTATTTTTGTACTTCCTTCTGCCTCTTTTTTATTCTCGTTTGGACCGCAGTCGAGGAGTCAGAGCCGACTGGTCCTTTAGCCTCTCAATGCTTGCAACAGACTGCTTCGTTCGATTTAGGTGCTCCGATTCCAAACACGGTGTTGTCTCGCAGGTTTTCCTTTTCCACCCTTCTTTCCTTACATTCCAACCAGGGGCACTGCAGTCATCGCCTTACGTCTCTCCTCCGTTTCTTGGCAGTTCTACTCGGCTTCTTTCACCGACGACATGCGCATGGTCGCTGCGCACGTCCAGCAGCGCTTTCCGGCCTCCAAGCTGCTGGCGGTTGGGTGGTCCTTGGGGGCCAACATCCTTGTCCGCTACCTGGGCCAGGTGAGCCGAGCTGGCGTCACTCTGCAATTCTGATGCTAGGTCGCCTGTGTTCACTTTTGAAACTTGCAGGCTTTGCCATCATTCAAGATAGTTCTGGCAGTCTCGCTTCAAGCCCTAGAGTTGCGCCTTTGATTGCGCTATTGACCAGCTTCTGAGGGGGCCAGAGCTAAGATTGGCATCTCTTTCCGCTTTCGATTAATCTGATTGATAACATGCTCTCGTTTTGAAGCAACGCGTTGGCTCCTAAGTGAACGGGCTCTGAAAAGCGTCCTGAACTGGTGTCTTCGTAACGATCCGGAGGAAACACAGGAATGTATTCATAAGAGCACCTGCGCGGAAGGTTTCATGGCCCGTCAACTCAGCCTTCCTTCATAGGAAAGCCACTTTGATCTGACTTGTGTACGTGCATCCACTGACTTTTGAAAACGCCAAGAATCTATAGCCATACCTGCCAAGCAGCGCAGCTGCGCCAGGCTTCGACTCTCCCTTCGAGCGCTTAGTCCGCTCGTCCTTTTGCCACTCTATTCCGTGGGTTACCAGTGAGATGTGAACAGGAAATAATCCGTTCCGCTATCCATGCAGGAAGGGCCGCGCACACCAATCGCGGCGGCAGCTTCGCTGTGCAACCCGTTCGACCTGGTGAAAGGCGACGAGGGCTTCCGCACAGGCTTCGGCAAGGTGTACGACCAGTCGCTCGCGAAGAGCCTCAACAGGATCTTCAAGAAGTGAGTTCTGCGATCGTTTCTCCGTTTACATCTTCGGTTAGAGCAGCTGGGATCCAATGTCTGTTTGCGGCCTTATTTGTATTTGAAAACGTTCAAAAGGCACTCAGGAGTACGAACGTACTGGTAGGATTGTGTCGAGGAATGTGTGCAGCGGGGCTTCTGACGGCGCCCGTCCACTTCTTCACGAGCTTTTCCACGCGGCAAGGCTTCGCGAGATTCTTCGGGAATTTTTTAAGCCCCGTTTTTCTGCATAGCTTGTAGCCTGGTTCCAATACAGTCGATAGCCCTGCGCTCAGATTTGCTTGCTCCGGTCGCCTTTCGTGACACAAGCGGCGCCCGTCTGCTGACTGCAAGCGGTTAAGCTTCCCGTTCTCCCTTACTTGACAAGCCTCTCTTATCTATTTATCTATCTCCAGGCACGCGCCCCTATTCGAGGGCATAGGCGGAGACTACAACATCCCGTTGGTGGCCACCGCGAAAACGGTTCGAGACTTCGACGAGGGGTTGACGCGGGGTGAGGCCATGCTTCCCAAAGTTCACCGTAGCGAGTAGGATGCGCACATAGGGACAGCCAGAGCTGACCTCTGCAGCGGACCGTGGAGCAAGCACTTGAGGCCTTGTAGCGTCCTGTTTCGGTCCGGGCAGGTCGGCAAAATGTATTCACAGCGTAGCTTTTTGTCTGCCCTGCAAGGATGGACACGCGGACCGTATGCTTACTTGGCAACTTTCTTGTCCACAGTATGTTTCGGCTTCCCGTCCGTTGACGAGTACTACCGGCAGTCGAGCAGCATCAACAACATCCAAGACGTCGCCGTCCCGCTCATGTGTATACAGGTCAGCGGCTCGTACAGCCACGGATTTAAATGCTCGGGTTCTATGTGCAGTCTGTCTGCAAACCCAATACGCCGTGTTTTGCAATCTTATCAGAGGCTCCGATTCACGTGATAAAGCTGCCTGCTGAGCAGCTTCTGCCCTCCTCTCTAATACAGCAAGTACTTCGGTGCTCCTTTTTGTTAAGCCTTTTCTGTCGACATTACCACCTCAGCATTCACCACCGACCAGAAGAAAGGTCGCGGTTTTTGAGTACGTCGTACGTGGTAATCCAGCAAAAGGAGTTGACAGCTTTGAGAGCGGACCTGACACATTTTGATGGTCATGCAGGCCGAAGACGATCCGATTGCGCCGAACGACGGGATCCCTAGAGAGAAGATCCAGGTACGTATCCTGCATCTCTTCCTTCTAGAAGATTAAATGTTCAGGTGGATTCAATTGCGTCCAATCAAAAGGTTTTCTAATGGCATTAAGCGTGGAGAAAGTAAAACCACCGGTTCGTCGAGCTTGACCGGGCTTTTTAAGCTCCGTCTCCAAGCCCTGCTCCTCAGGTCGTCTCGTCTGGTCCTCTGTACCGTTGAGAAGTCCAAGTTTGTCAAGTGCTGACGAACTTGAGCCAACCGAATCAAATCTGGTTGGCACTGTAAGGGTCAGAAGGTAGGCAGACAAAACAAGCGTTTCAGCCGCAATCTTCCATGTGCAGGCAAATCCGAACACCTTCTTGGTCGTTACGCCGGCCGGGGGTCACCTGGGGTGGATCGCAGGGGAAGAAGCACCTCTTGGCGCCCCCTGGACAGATCCGTTGGTCATGGACTTCTTCAAAACTTTCCTAGAGTTGCAGCCAAGCGGTCGACGGGATACCCCTATTGCAGAACAAGAAGTTGGCAAGACGCTGCAGGAGGTGAACAGCTCAGGGGAGGAGGCGCTGGAGCTCTCGCAGAGTTGGAACAAGCGGTGAAGTCGGTAACGGGGAAACGCGTCCGTCAAAGCTCCCCCTATGTTGACTGGGTTGCATTGTACCACACCGCATCAAAGAACCGTACGGGCCAGGAGAATCATAATCACAGAGCTTATCAAGGTCTAGTGACTCTCGTCTGATCATTGCATGAAGTCTGGTGGTCACACGGAACATACTGAAGACGCAACTTCGGACTTCGCTAGTGTTGAGGCAGCAGATGAAGCACGTCAGCTTGACCTCAGTTGAGTTTCACGACAACGTCCTAGGAGGCACAGAGATACATCTGCCACACATTTGATACAGTAGGGAACTTATTGACCAGAAGGGGATGCATGGTGGAGCGCTGATAATGGTATGCATGAGCCAGCGGAAGCGCAGTCACTAGGCCCGAATGCAGACTTCGTTGCCAACAAACCGTGTGTGCTATATGATCATCGCATAAGTCCAACTTTGTACAAGGTGCTTCAGAATTGGCCGCGCCCATGCGTTTGATATTGGATGTCTGACCGTCGGAGGCGTCTTTTATGCAGTGAAGGTTGCATGCATTCGTATCAACTCATATTGTGCATGTGCACTGAATTGTGGTCCCCAGCCGGACATGCCAGCTCTTATACGTCCATAACCTGCTGTCACTGTATTGAGTGCAGCATTCCGCATGCATGACAATCTAGCTAGGTCACTGTATTAGTATGATGCAGCACAGGCTACAAGGCGGCAGCGCATATATATGCATCAAGTTTGACGCTGAGCATGTATACCGTACGAGTAGAGCATGAATACGTGTACAGCTTTCTCGAATTCAAGAGATGTTTACGATCGCTATGTCACTGTTCTCGTGACGTTGATCGCCCGTTACGTTTGGGTGTAAGCAATTCGACTAAGTTCCTACTGAACGCGAACCAAAAGGCTTTTTGCTCTACTGCAAAGCATGACTGCACACATAACTCGATTTGACAAAGCTAGCAAGATGGAAGCAGTCGACTTATAGCGCCTTGAACGCCAATCTGTAACGTGTTTACGAAAGTACACTGCGATACACACAGTCTTCACGATCCGGTCTCTCGCTTCCGCCTTGTCCTGTCAGCTTGGACGGTCAAGGAATAGCTACCCGTGCAATGTGCAGCTATTGAATCTGTCCAATCGAAGTACATGTAGACGTCCTGTTCTCACCAGACCCTCGTTCCAATCTACCACTATACTACAAGCTCCGCACACAGACTACGCCACCACTTCCACTTCCTCGAACCTTTTCTCCCACTTCACTAGTTCTTTCCCTGAGCAGCCGCTGAAGACCAACTCCTTGAGCTGAGGACAGGCCGCGAAGATTCGCTCGACGTCCTCAGCGAACCTGTTACGGATCTTTTTCGCACCCAGCGCCGAAATTGGCACGCCTGCAGTGGCGCGCACTTGGATCCTCCGGAGCAAGGGGCAGTCCGACTGGGACAGAACCCAACCAAGAGACCGCGTTCCGTTGAAGCAGCCCCGCTTTTTGACGTAGGTCTTCCAGGAGATTTCCAGCACCTCGAGGCTAGACGGCAAGGAGCGCCAATGCACGGTCAGACCCAAGAGCACGATACTGCCATTGGATTACTCCGTGGCGCAATAAGCACTCTCCCGCAATTCTGTCACCTTTGGCGGCCAAGCGGATTGCGGGGGAGCATACACAACAGGGACACGCCGCCGAGCAAGGCTCTCCCGGTCTGAACCCAGATTCGAAACGTCCAACGTTCCCACCTGTCCGAAATCCGCAAAGCTGCCCCGTCCGTAAATGTAACCGTCGACTTTCAAGAGATTGACGTTGGGAAAGCTCTTGGCGAGTTGGAGGAGTCTGGGCCCGTGGACGTCGTAGCTGACGATGATCAGTTCCTTGAGGGTCCCTTTTGAAGCGGAGAGCACGCGCTGCCCAAAGGAGCCGTGCCACGCGATCGGGTGATTGAACGGGGGGAGGTAGTACTCCAGGACTCGCAGGCTAGAGTGACCGGTTATGGTGCAACCGACCCACGAAACGCTGGACAGAGCTTCGAGGAGGGAGAACTTTGTGCCCCGGCTCAGAAAGTTGGGCTCTTTCATCACCAGCCTAGTTACACCGGTCCGCTTCCCAAGCTCTTCTACGAGCACTTTGCTGGGAGTCTTCTTTGCGTTGCTGCTCCCCTCCATTAATGCCCCTTGTACAGGATTTCCAATATCTTTTGAAGGCTTAATGACCAGAGTCTTGCTGCACCTTCTGGCAGAGTCGAGGCAGCCCTTGCTGGCGCACTCCAGCGCCTGGAAGCTCTCTGTGCAGTCCTGCCTCACTTTCTCCGTAATGATGTCCAACAGCTCCGCAGGAAGGAACTCCAGGCCTTATATAGATCTGGATTTCGATGCCGCCATGGTTGACGGAAGAGGCAGCGCTGGAAAAGGGTTCAGCAATGAAGAAGCCGTACGGTTCTGGTCTGCGCTTTTCGTGCTGGCGTAAAGCCTCTACTTGAAGTGCTAGGAATTTGCTGCAAAAGTGTGTCTGAAGCGGGCGGCAAAAATGGTCTGCAATTCTGTCTGAGTGAGTGGAAGCGGCAAATCATTCTGAAAATCGGAGAGCCTCCCGTCTGCTCATCTTGGATGATATCGACGGTCGACCTGCGTCAACGTGGATACGCCTGATGAAGGAGATACTGGTACGCAACCTCTTACTACAACTACAACAATCAGAAGGATCGAAACCAACGTGAATTCGATTGCGTCAGCTGATGCGACATTCGAGGATCATCGAATATCAGGAGGCACGCGTGCACGGCACTGATGCCAACTGATGCCTCCTTACAGTGCAGCGTTGACTGAAAGACGTGCCCGCGTCAACATTGAGACATTCGACGACGAGCGCCTGGTTTTAAGAACCAGCCGAGAGGTGCATGCTAGATCAGCAAGATCAAAATCTTCATAAACGGATTTGACCACCTGTATCTATAGACTATACGGTGAGTTCGTGCCCACTTTCTTAGAAACTCCACCTCGAGGTTTCGATTAGAGGCATTCTGGCGTTGCTACTCCTCATTGACCCGAGGATCAAATCAACGTCGCCTCAACCTCAATATCCACGGACAGATTGACAGCTCTTCCTTTGATCGGCCTCTGGATTTGAATCAATAAGAGTGTCAAGACGATGATAGATGGGAAACAATTCACCGCAATCATGTCCCGAAAATCATTTCGCACAGCGACGGGCAGCTTCAGCATACCCAGCTAGTTTTGCAGAGCCCAGCAGTACTTGCATCCTGTTGATTCGAACTTCAGGCTCCTTCATCACGCTTCTCATGTCATTGATCAAACTCTTCTCTCCTCCAGTTTTGGCGCCATGAATGAAGTGGAAGCTTTGGCCCCAATTAATGCCAGGCCAGAGATCAGTGTTGTTGATCCTGCACCAAGGCCTCTTGAAGAGTCGTGTAGGAATGGAGCATCTTCATCAAAGAAAAGACCCTCAAGCGGAGCCAATTTACCAAGTAATTCAATCGAGAATGGACCCTGCGTGCTCGAGGAACGCACTTTAACATACGTGGTGCGTATCGTGCCAGATGCAGGGAACACAAGCAAGCACATCTTGGCACTGCCTTGGGCCAAAGACTGGAGCACACCTTGGTCTGTGAGACTCTGGGTAGACCAGCAAAATAGCAGTGCTTGGGTTGCCACTCTTGAATTAAACGAGCTATCTCTTGTCCCAACGTGTGATGAGGGCCCTCGGTTTTCAGAGGTGGCTCTGTGCGAACTCGCGCGAGGGCACAGCTATTCAAATTATGAGGGTGATTACGAAGCAGACTGGGACGAACTTGAAGAATGTGCAAATCATGGGTCCAATTTGAATGCATACACGATTCACGTAAACCGAGACGAAGTTGACAAACCCGTCTGGCTTTCCGCCGATGTGGTTTTCAGGCGACAGTTCTCTAGGACTGAGTGGAACTTCTTCAGCTGCAAGGCAAAGGTCGAGCCCAAAGTCGACCTGATTACAACTGCTGGCAGGACAGGAGACCTGATCCTTGTTGGTGAGGTGAGTACCTTTAATTCAAATAAAGAGCAGTGGTTTCAAAGCTGGCAAACCAGTAAGGTTCTGTCGCAGTGTTGAAACCTCAGAGTATATAATATCCATGACAGATAACGCTCGTTTCTGTGCTGCTACTCTTGGTTTGATGGTGGAATAGTCACCTCTACATGTGGGCTCTTCGATTTTTCTGCATAGGGAGTCTATGCATGATGAGATTCTTTTTGAGTCCTCTGCTGCTTCAATGACAGGACTCTCAGACAGAGGTTTGGCCTGAGTAAGATGCAAACACTTTAGACCCACGTCACCTGTCTTCACACAAGCACTTGACGATTTCCTTTTTGTGAATCAGCTTAAACTGTTGACATGGAAGCCCAGCTACATGCCTGGAAAATGACCCCAAAGGAGCTCAAAAAGAGGTTTTTGATTGCAGGAGGGCGTCGAAGAGCCGGCTCACTCAGCTGTTCTCATTGACATTCCCTACTTCGAGGCAAATTCGCGAGATGAGTGGTCTGGAAAGGTGTGGAATCTTCACAACAAGCTGCGGTTAGAACTCCCGTCTCCAGCCGGACGCGAAGCACTTGGGTACTTTTTGAAGTACGTGTACGGTGACAGGCGTTCTCTGTACAAGTTTGACCCCACAGGCGCACAGCTGCTCCAGGTAAGCTTTAACGACCTGAGATACACCAAGTCAAAACTTCTAAACAAGGATTTTAGTGTCTACTTTGCGTTCCTTGCTAGTCGGGACCGGTGTTCTTTAACACTTTTGTTGCATTGGAAGGTTTCCATGGCTGATCATTCGTCGTGATTGTATCATGGGGGTCCAAATAGGAAGCGCCTCAAGCGTATCCCAGGAAAAATCGTTAATGAAGTCATTAGGGCAGTCTATTCCGTCTTCTGGAACGAAAGCGGCGTCAAAATTGTAGATCAAAGCCTTTAACTGAGCTCGAGCTTCTTCAAGTCCGAAGACACGTTCGAAGAAGTACGCCATGCCTGTCCAGCGTCAATGTTAGATACGTTGCTTGTGCTCAATGCCGCGTGCTGCTCCACCAAGGTACTCAAGTGGGCCGTTTGCAAGTCAGATTTGTTTGAAACCGTTTGCTTCTGGCTACGATATCAGGTTCAGCGTTGAAAGAAGCGACGATCTTTGGTTCCTTTCTGCAGGAGCTCCTTTCACTCGGGGACGCTTGCGGGGTGCCTGCCCTTTGTGCTGACGTCACCGGGCTTGTCATCGTCACGGCTACAAACGTGGATTCATGGCTAGCGTGGCTCCTCAAGGAGCACGGCGTCGATATCGGACCAATCCGCAAGCAAGTCGTACAGGTGAGGTTTGAAAGGGGCTTTATCTCGTGTCGTGTTCAATTCCGTCAGTCAGCGGATGGCCCCTTCTCATGTTGAAGGTTTTTCAACTGCATGCCATGTTCCACCTAGAGTCCAAAAGGGCCGACTCGAAATCGAATGATTCTTGTTCATTGTTCCATACTACGGCAGGTCAGGCGAGGAGTCCATAGAGAGAGCAAGGGCGGGTTGCTTTTACAGAGGTAGTCTTGCTGTTCAGAAAGACTTAATCTGGCTTCAAAAAACTGGAGTTCAACCACTCAAATGCCGAGTCTTCTCACATTTTTCGGCATATTCCGGCTTATATGTTTGTAGGTTATGAAGGACAAGTTGCAGAGCGGGATGTGCTGGGAAGACCTCACCGTGGAGCAACTATCGACTCTGGCGGCTCTCCAGAATTCCTTTTTGCGATCAAGCTAGCTTACCTTTCCTGTCAGAAGCAGGTACTATTGTCGCATGGGCATGATTCTGACCTAATGTGCCCAATCTGTAGATCTTAGATCTGTTTCGGTCAGCCGCTCAAAGCCAGTCAGTACTATAGCCAAAGGGTGTAGGATCTACAGATTGGAAATAGTACGAGGGCGACTTTGAATTATGCAGCAATACGTGTGTGGCGCTTCATTCAACAGGCTCTTAGCCCATTTTGCGACCCTGCATCATGGACCGGAACACACAACGCATGAGAGGAGTAAAAGGCCGACCATGCTGATGATAATTCGCAAGCGAAAGGCTCCGTGTTGAATTGTGCGGGTCAGCCTCTTTCTTTGTCATATTGTGCTGATGCGACCTGAGAAGCGGGTTCCGGTCACTGCAATGGACACGGACAACGAGCTTACAACCTACAGTGAGCCAATCAACTCTTGAGTGGCATCACCTCAGAACGCAGATTGCCGCCGCAGCGCAAGGACTTCTACACCCTTGCAAGAGCGATCCCTCAGCAGAATGGATCATGAGCGTGCAGGTCGATGTACGCCATGTTGCGCATGCTCACATTTGAAACTCGAGTGCATGCAGGTCTTTGTACGCCCTAGTTTACGCATGCGTGCACGTCTGAATTGAATCGACCATGAACTACGGAACTGCAGAAAATTGCGTGAGGAAATTACGTGAGGGCGTTCAACATCATGCAGAATCACCTTTGCATGGGATCATGGGCTGTCACATGTCGAAGCCGACCGTACAAAGCCAGTCGGACAAAGGTCAATATCGTTACAAACCACAACGCCTTTTTGACCTCTTTGTTCGAATCTGAGTTTGACTGAGATCGGCGCGCGCGTGTATAACTGCCTCAACTGACGCTGGCTGGCGGCCACAGCGAAAGCACACAATTGCCGTTCCCAAAACAAACTTGCAAATTGAACCATTGCTTCGAATGTTCTGTATGTTTGAATGCTTTTGTACGGGTGTCGATCCTTGCGAGCGTCCATGAATGATCTGATCTCAACGATCTACTTCTACCATGTAATGACTGCTAACATATGAATGATCTTTCTAGTCGTCATGCAAGGACGATACTGATCTCTGTCACGGTAAACTGATCTAGCACCTTATCTTCCAACCGAAAGGCTGGATCCAAACGAAGGAAACGCGCTAGCTATACTCGACCATCCAAGGCTTACTCTGAACAGAAATTTGGAAGTACAACGTCGGTCATGAATGCCATATCGAGCAGTATGCTGTGGGTCGCCCCCGGCTTGATCAACACTTCGCAACGTGGCATTACGTCCCTCATCCACGTCGCACACGTGTGTGGAACCTCATTATCTTTGTCACCATGGTAGACGATTACCGGGATGCTGACGTCTTCGTAGTGTACGTCGCTCGACCGGTACACTTCCAAAGACAACAGCATGTCGTTGGTCATGGCCTGCATAGGAGAGGAACCGCCATCAGCACTTGTACCACTATGTAGGAAAAATAATAGGGAAAGAACTTCTCAAAGCATGTCTTCGAGAAGCGGTTACTGACAATGAACAGATTAACGCCCACCTGCTCTCAAATTTTTATGTTATGAGCAAGAGCACGAGGAGAAGAAGTCGAGAGCAACTGAAGTAAGGTTGGACCCCGTATGGAGAGGACATGTCCTGTAAAAGAAAGTATGCTTGGTAAAATGTAAGAAGCCCAAGGATGCTATAGCAAATCTGACCGACGAACCGTCCCATAGGAACGGCGAAGATGCAGTCGAGCCACGGGCTGCCCTTGATGGCCAAAGACTGAAGAGCGTTGCCAGCGATAATTCTTGCTTTCCGCCATTTCGAGCGACGTTTTGAGAAGTTTACATGTACGCTGAGCACCCGTTGCTGACAGCTTCCCCGCAGGACGGAAGGGAATGCAATCCAAGAAACACCTTCGGTGCTCTAAAGTTCTCCCTAAGTGGGGCTTTGACAAATCGTCTCAATCCGCTGATTTTTAGAGGCCGAAAAAGCCCGCTCACCGTCTTGCCATCCTCAGCCATAGTGATTAACATGGCCTGCTTGTGTAGCTCCGCCCCTCGCGGCGAGGAGACGCACGCCCGCTCCGGGTCGCTCAGATCTCGTGTGAACTTCCGGCCGTAAGCATCTTGGAACCCGGCCTCGGCAGACCTGCCGACCATGGCGGCCATCAGGGAGCTGCCGTACGCGACGAGCCCCCCGGGAAGATGGTGCAACATCTGGAAAACAGAGACACGTCCTGAGAAGGAGACCGGTAGGAGTCCCCACCGTCAGGTGGAAGTTAGCATCGTGAACATCGGCTGACGTGGCTGTTATTGGAGACGGTTTCTATCCGGCCGGAAGATAGACCACTTGAGGACTTTGCCCATCCAATCAAGGAGGTGCTCAGAGTTCGGTGGCTAATTTTTCTATCAGTATCAGCGAATCCTCGTTTTGGTGCATGAGAAGAAAGCCGAGCACGCAAGGGAGTTAGGGAAGCCCTGAGAGGCACGATACCCGACACGTCTCAAGCTTTCTTATGTACCTTGCCGATTGCTGCGGCCCTGCATACCCAGCATCAGAATACTAGATACTGAAACACTTTCAGAATCTCGACAAAAATCAAGTCACTCGCACATGACTACTTCAAGGCTCCAGCAATCATCTTCTTACTTCACGAGCGGCCTATCAACGACAAGCTGTCTAGTTTCCTGCTGAGATAGGGCTTCTAACGTGCCATTTGAATGCGTACCTTCAGCTTCCAACGCACGGCCGGGCAGCTGACCAGGTTCCAGGGCGCCAGGAGCACCATGCGGCCCCGCACCCGCTCCGGGGCGCGCACCGCCAAGCCAGCCGCAAATAAGCAGCCGCACGAGTGGCCCATAAGACCGAATTTCTCGATGTTCAGCCGGTCCAGCAGCTCAAGCACACAGTCTGTCAATGGTAAAAGGCGTGTTTAATCGCTTACATTCTTGGGCGGAAAAGAAGAGTGTGCTGCTCAAAAGCTTTCCCCCGTGCGCAGATTGTTGGATGTGAGTAGCCAGTTTGGCTGATACGGCATTCTAAGGTCCCTACCAATGTTCGTGGATTACGAAGCTTTAAAAGGGAGAAGAAAATACGACCCTGAAAGGTGGTCCCTAAGAAGTTCAGACGACTGTAACTGTCGACATCTCTCCAGAACGCGCTCGATAACCAGAGAACTTTTATAATCAGATCTTCAATCAGAATCAAACAAGGAATAATCTTGAGCCATTCAGAAGAGCCGAACTTGGCGTTCAGCAAGGGTCCTGATTGGAAAATCTTGCATACTTTAACCCGTTCACGAATCTACAGCTTCAAGTGCACTGGGCTCAGAAACGCCCGCAACTATTGAGTAGATTCAGTTGGTTTGCCTCACCTGCAAAATTTAGCACATTCAAATTCTCCGGGACGACCGGCGTCGTCTTGCCCCTCCCTGGTCGATCCACACAGATCAGGCGCAGGTGCAGCTTTAGCAGCCCTTCTTCCAGAAAGAGTCCATACAGCCGGTTCCCACCCATACCTGTGAACATGACAACTGGAGCGCCCTGCACCAGAAGCGACAGACGTTCGAAATATTCAATTGGGCCCCGTTACTCTTGATTCAGATTCTTTTGAAAGTGAGTTCCTTGTTTTTGAGTCTCCAAGAACCAGCATATCCAGCGGGAAAAAGCACACTTTCTGTGCAACGCCAAAACGTTGTGTAGATGAACAGGTGAGGCGAATTGACAGGGAGCAGAGCTGGGGGAGGAGAACTACGTTACGCAAAGGGCGGCGACCAGATGAGGAAGTGAACGTGTTGCGTGGACTGAGTCTCATCTTACGCTGGCTGGTCTGCAAGCGGTCATAGATAGTAAGCTGGAAGAGCTTTCCAAGAGACGACCATGCAGTTTCAGCTTTTCTTTAAGGAGATATAGCCCCTACAGCAGCATACAGGAACCCGTATCACACAACCTGGGAAAATGGGCATGGTAAAATCGGGTCCAACACATTCCTGAAGAATTACTCAGTAGACCTTGTCTGCATACAACTAAGCTTATCAAGATTACTTCAGACGAACCTGAACCAGCGGGTACGCACCAATGAATTGAGCGACAGTTGTCAAATCTCTACTGCAGTCAAGGAGATATATGTTGCTGATATTCACAAGGTGCCTGAGGCAGTGATGGATAGGGTGGTATACGATTACACTAAGCATAGAGCGCAGGCAATGCTAATAAAATAGTAGAGGAATGGCTACGTTAGCTCCTCTATTGCCCTTCTGCAGGCTGTGTGCAGGTGTCCCTGCTTCCTCCCCATTCCAACAGATTCTGGCAGGAGGTGCATGATACTATTCAAACGTCACACCTGGGGGTCGCCAACTTCCGAGTAACTGACGATTGTGCCGCTTTTTGACAGTTGCTGCACCTGGCACATGCGGGGGGATTGGAGCAGCTTCCCAATCTCAGCAGCCATGCCAGAACCAGACGCGCCATCGGACGCCCCCGACATTGGAGACCTCCCAGAGAACTTCTAAACGATTCAAAGCATCTGGAGAGGAAAAGCAATCAAGGGAGACTTATGGAGGCTGGCAGACTGGCAATCTTTGAAAGATACGGCTAAGTTTTGAGCTGCAAATATGGTTGTGCACATGAACAGCTTAAAGAACCGCCTGGGAATTGCACTGCCGTCGTAGCCAGCAGGTCCCTGCTAATCCAGCACTTTGACAAACTCTTGTCACAAAAGCTTGCAGCTGTGCTGGGGCCAACAGAATTGAACAACGTCGTTACTGTTTTGATGGCAACCAGCAGACCCTAAATCATTGCGCAGCACATGCGCACTGCGCCTCAGCATCGGCCTGAGTCCAGTTGCGTTGAGCAGTGTCCTCTACGCCGACGGCGACGGCGACGGCCCCAAAATCAGGTACACGTTTCTGCACTGAGCAACTCTGCGCAAGCAAGCATGCATGATGCAGTTCAGACTTCCAGTCGTTGGTAACGGAAGAGGACTTCGAAAGCTGATGCCTCTGACGTCACAACCATCTGAATGGAAGCCTCATGGATTGCCCGCGTCCCATACGTCAGCACACGCTGAAGGGACCCCTTTCCCGCCCCCTGGGCAGGGGTCGGGCCCCGTCGACGAAGGCAGCTGGCCGTGCATGAGCTTGCTTGCAAGTTGCACAAACCCATTTATAGGCTTTCTGTTGCATTCCTGATTCATACAATCCTCCGTCTCATCTCAAAGCGCCATTGTCACTGGCACTACTCGTGTCTCGTCCTTTCTTTCTTCCAGTTTCAGCTCACTGTCCTGCTGCAGCTCAATTCACACCATTTTCCGCTGACCATGGGCGGCAAGGCCAAGAGCTACATTCGCGAGGGGGAGCCCCACCTCAAGCCCTTCATTGTCGTGCGGGGCGCAGACAAGGCGCTGGAGTTCTACCAGAAGGCGCTCGGCGCAGAAGAGCTCCATCGGCTGCGCTCGCCCACCGGAAAGGTGGTTCATGGGGCAATCCGCATCCAGGGCTGTCTCCTCATGATTGCAGAGGAAGATGCTGAGAATGGGTTCAAGTCTCCTGAGCTCCTGGGCGGGTCAGCAGGAGGATTTGCTGTGTACTATGAGGACTGCGATGCGGCGTTCAAGAGGGCGGTGGAAGCGGGGGCAAACGTGGTTCATGAAGTGCACGATCATTTCCATGGGGAGCGGTGCGGGACGATCCAGGACCCCTTTGGGCACCAGTGGGCGATCACGACGCTGATTGAGGATCTGACGCCGGAGGAGGTGCAGAAAAAGATAGACGATATGATGGCACCGCCGTCGTAAGTGGGGCCGTATTGAGTTTGTAAAGCTGAGAATGACAATGTTGAAGGGTTTGTTCTGTAATGTATACGTCTTGCTTAATAGCACAGCCCAGGAGCAGCTGCTGCCCAGCTGCTGACTTGTTGAGCTTGTGAGTAGTGATAAAATTCCGTACAAGTTGCTGTAAGTGGTCTAGAAATTTTCACTTAAAACCTTAAGATTGCTTACTATATCATTAGTCTTGTCTTGTGAATATGAGAGTTGGGGTTGACAAACAATAGATGGACGTGGAAAATTTCGCTGACAAGATACTCTAAGAACATACTTTGAATAGTATATGCACAGTTTCAGATCCTCTATATCTGCCCAATCTTCTTTCCCATACACTCCTGTCGGCTTGATTGAATGCTGGCTCCTTCCCGGACGCTGATCAGCACGCGGATTGCAAGGGCAGTGTGGATCTGGACCATCAGATTGGAAGAACTTGCGTCTGGGTTGGAGCTTGATGCTTTTGAAGCTCTTGAAAGTTGGTTCAAATGTATGATGAACATTTGACTGTCTGTCATTATGGAGGCATGAATCCTAAGTGATTCCATGTGATAACCCGTCGTGCATGGCCCACTCTGTTGAAATTCCAGGCATGGGCTGCAGCTACTTCTGCGCTATCCTAAACACACAATTGGTTCGTGTGCTCACAAGGACCACTGTCTGAGGGGTGCATATGGTGGGCTGTAATGCATGGGGAATGATTGGCATGTGATCCATCTCGACGACAGTAAATCAATTTCGATAGCAAGCACTGCACGATCATGCAGCCCAGTGGGCTTGAATGAATAATGCATCGTAACTATCAAACAACTTCGAGATCAACTTGTGGAGCAAGGCGACCGAGCTAGGAGCAGCAGTGAAGAGATAGAATCAGTCGAAGTGAGAGCTATCTTGCACAAAGGACCTTGGAAGGTAGAGAGCAAATCCATGACAGTGCACGAGTCCAATGATTCTCGTGCCAAAATTATTGAAATTCCCCTGATTCAGTGCAGGCCGAGGAGCGCAGCCGGATGCGCCTCTGCGCATCTTGACCTCACGAGCCTCGATCAACGTTATCAATACAAAGTAGTTTATGTGCGGGCTCTGTCAAAGGAGACCAGTGGCTTAGCGATCAAATGCTCGGGTGCCTGGATATCAAATCTGGACAGCTCAGAATTGTCTTTTGACCTTAGACTGCATTTCCTGGGTGTGTACAGTAATATGTATGTGATGTTCCCGATTCCTAATTCAGCGCGTCGGCCCCTTCAGACCATCTCCCAAACGTTCTGGTAACATTGCGCGCCGCTCGACGGCGCAACTGGACACACGTGACGAGTTCACATGAGTCCGCAGCTCAAGCACGGAGACCTGGAGGTTTCCAGCAAAGTTGCTTTGCTTGGCCCTCGCTTGCTTGCGCCGAGTTCAAACCGGCAGGAGGAGCCGCTGATTAGACAGAACTCAACACCTTTCAGAAAGCGAAGCAAGCCATCGATCTATCGATCGTGAGCCAGCTGGCACCTTTTCTATGGTACATTCAGCAGGCCACACTGGCCCCCGTGGCTTTACACATTTTCGAATTCAAAAACATTCTCCTTGTGTTTCAGGGCGTTCCGCTTGACCCAACGAATCGCCAGTACTGGAACTCGTTCTCAAGCCGCTCCAAGCGCAGCGCTGCGTGGCGCGCACCTTTAGAGGGACGTTGGCGCACCGTGTCTTCAATGATGTCGGCGTGCGCGAAGGCGTGACTCTGGCCGACAGTGACAACGCTCGGTCTGATTGACGTTGGTGTTTTTGCAGGGGGACACTCGGCGGCACCCTGAGAGGAGGCGCTCTCACTGACGGTTGTCAGTTGGATAAGGGGCCCCTTGCACGCGCGCAAAAAGGTGGAGGGCTGGTCGTTCGCGGAGCATCATACGGAAATCCGCCCGACTTACGAGGTCAAAATTGAGATGGACTTCGCAGAAGGCCTGACCTGGGTACTCGGGGAAGAACGGCTTGCCTGTATCCTCAAAACCCTCTAACTTCTTACAGCTAATAGTCAGTCCCGATTTTGAAAGCGGCCGTGCTTGCGGGCAAGATCTGGATTTTTGCTGGAAACAAGAATCGAGGACCCAACTCGATGAATCAACCTATCTGCTTTTCTTGTTCGGAGCCGCTCTTAATTATCGACGCTATCAAGAGGTTCAATTTGGTTGTGAAGACATATTCAGCCCCGAACTGACTGAGCGGACTTCTAAGATACCGGTCTACGTGAGCTCCTTGAAAAACTGAATTAGAAGACAGCCGCCCAGCTTAATTACGGGACCGCTTTGGAAGGAAAACCCGACTTGTTAACACCGTGCCCATTCTCCTTCTTCAAAGCAACTCCTTCCGGCTTTGAAGGACATCCACCACACCTAGACGGCTGCAGAAACGCAGAGCCGACAACTACGATAATCCATTAGTTGGATGAGGACTTTCTATGGTCAAGCTTACAACCCCCACCTGATTTACCTGAAAGCACATCAGAGCGGTTCAAAAGTTCATCACGTCTTGTGCAGTCGCGTTCTCACCAAGCCGCTCAGTTCCGCTTGTAGATCGGGGAGAAGTCTCTGGGGTCCGGGGCGGCCAGCACCAGCTTTCCCTGACGACTTCCCTTGGAATCTTGCACCGGGCCATGCGAAGAAGCGCAGCTCGTTCGCTTGAATTGCGCGCGAGCACGTGCACTTCTTCAGTTGCAGAAGATCAGCAAGTCCTGCAGGAAATCAGAGACCTGATGGGCAGCTCACATCGCTTGACCCTCGTTCCCTTCGTATGGTCCACAAACCTGCGAAGCAATTCTTTTTGTGATTCCGGGGTTTCAGTGACGCATTACAGGGAGTTGTGTAGGCTCTCAAAATACCGCTCTCAGCTCTGGGCGACTTCACCGTGCAAGTTGGAGAAGAAAAGGGAATAAGGTCAGGTAACAGATTGCAGATTATCAGGTCATGTCTATTCCACTCTCGATGCTTGCGGCCTCAGGAATTCTTCATACTAAGGCGTGCGGCGTGTCAGAAACTTTGCCAACAGATTGTACAAGTTCATTTGGCATGTTATGAAGCAGCCTTTTGGAATTACAGGGGTCGACAAGCACAGAAACAAGGTAGATTGAGATGTCGAAGCTCGTTCCTGTCTTGACCGAATTTGGTTCTGCAGTAGACCAGATTGAAATGGTAGCAAGCAATCAAGCAGAGTGGAGTCATTGATTATATTCATCAGAGATTCTTAGATTGAGTCATGTACCGTCAATTGGAAAAGCTCGGAAGCTCGCTGCGCCTCTAAAAGCACAGACCTTCGAGCATGGCGCATCACAGGTCCTGTTCAAGTTGTACGAATAACCCTTCAATCATACATGGCTTGCAGATGCATTTACTCAAAGAAAACAGCATAATGACTCATCGATTGGAAGATGAACTCACTTCGTTTAGCTGACATTTGAGTTAAACCCTCGAACCTGTTTGAGTAGATGTTGCTTACTGGTTTGCCAGCTTAGGGAGCAAGAGCGGCATCTGATGTCCACCAGTACTGAACCACTCTTGGAGGGCTGGCCTCTTTTGGGGACTGGCCTCCAGTGCGAAAATGACTTGTACTTGGAAGCGCGGGCCCGAGATAGAGCGGCTTCAGGAACAATGGCTCTACATAAAGCGCTTGACCGTATGAAACTGAATGCGACCGCCGATCTGACGTGGTTCTGATACCTGAACTAATGGAACTGCAGGGAGGCGAGAACGGGGGCCGGGGTCAAGGTGTTCAATGTCGAAGGCCGGTCGGAATCCTCGTTGCATCAATCTGCTGCGCTTGTTTGTGAACTCTGGTACGTAATTCGTTGCCTTCAACGGACGGGCTTTCTGAGAAGGTTAGAAAGTATAACCTACAGGACTAGAGGACCATCCAAAATCTAAAAAGTCAGTTCCCGGGTCAGATGGGGGTCAGATTTGTTATTTTCCCTGGTGAGTGGAGGAGGGCGCCTCGGGGGCGCCTCCCCCCGGGCCTCCCTAGTGGGCGCTCATACAGTGAGGTGAGCAGGTGCAGGTCGGATGCACGCACGGCCGCGACTTTTGTTTGAACTTGAAACTGTCAAGCTTAAACATCTGAACGTACAGTTAGAAGTGAAGGCGGCTGGCCGCTGCATGCGTGGCCGGCGCCCGGCCGGCCGCGCAAGGTTACGTCCGCGGCGGCCGTATTGCGCCGCCTAGTGGGAGGGGTTGGGGTTTGAATTTTCAGACCGCCGTACGCGGGCCCGCCTGGCCGCCTGCTCGCGACTAGTGCGCGCATTTGTCCAGGGGTGCTTCGGTTTAGGGTTTGCTCATCATTCATCATTCATGCTTCGCCTCTGATATCTAGCTGAGCGTGAACAGGGGCGCTTCCAACACCTAGCAGGGCGCTTTTGATATGCATCTTTCCAGCGCTTGTGAACATCCGTCTTTGATTGACACTGCCAGACGAGGATTTTGTTCATGAAGCTGTTTAGACGGGATTATTGGATTGTCGTTGAGCACTGACGGAAGGAATGGTGCAGCTGGGGAAGTGTTTACGAGTCAAAGGAGTTGGCAAGTGAGTTTCTATTTTCTTCGCTCGTGATGAGATCCTCCATTCTGCATGTTACAGAGCAGCTTGCAACCAATCCATTGAGATGCTTTGAGAGCATGGTAGGTGTTTACTGAAGGCCTTGTTGGAAAGGACTGCAGATCTGCATCACTAACGAGGTTGGCATATTTGCCACGGTTTGTGCTAAGAGGATTGTGTCATTGATTTGGGTAGCCTCTCACAAACTTTGGGGGCAAGGCAACTCCTTCCATCAGTTCTGTGATCTATGGCTTGTTTAACAAGGACACTGACAATATACAAATGTTTTCATGATGCAGCGGCGTAACCAGTATTGATGGCTGTCAGGTAAGCGATTAGCAGCGGGTATGGCTCTTATTTTTACTCTTCAAAGCTAATGCACAGGCAGCATTGGGTATCGTCAGCTTTCTAAGTGAAACTGGTCAGAGTGTTCCCCAAGTTCTACATTCAGTCCGCTTATGGTCAAAGCACCTTGAGCCAGGTTCTCGAACAGAGCACTTTGAATGGGCTCTTCTAACGTAGGTCTGGTTCTTTTTACAGACATGCTCAGGAACTGGGGCCCATCTGTTTCTCGTGTCCGCAGGCGTTCTCCCCCAGGCCCAAGAAACCCGAAAAGTGTGCGGCCTGCGGCTGCCATGCCTCCTTTCACCAACGCCTCGACGGGTCAGGCGCATACACTAGTGCAGATGCAGGGGCCGGTGTGCCTGGACCGGTAGCTGCCAGCAGCCAACCCCCTGAGTTGGCCATACTTCCAAAGCGAGGGCAGGTCTCCGCAAGGGGAGTCGCTCGCGGTGGCGCACGGAAACAAAGGAGCGCTCGGGTGCCGAAGACAGGGGGCGTGAGAGCAGAGAAGGCAGGGGCGGAAGTGGAGAAAGCAGGCGGGGGGGATGCGGAGAAGCCTGCAGCTGCGAACCGACCAAAGCGGGGACCTGGGTCGAGGGGGGGTAAGGTAGTGGTTCGAGGTGCCGGAAGAGGCCGGAAGTCTAAACAGCTCGTGAAGGCGGATGGAGGAGCTTCCGGAGGGAAGTCCGCCGAAAGCGTCGTTGTTGAAGAGTTTCGGAGAGGGTCTAAGATTGGCGAACAACTGCTCCGGAAGGTAACTTCTGTTAAGGGGCCCGCTTCGAAGAAGATGGAAGGAGATGCGTACATGGGCCCTGGATCCAGGATGTTGACGATTTCCCGGAAGGCTGCACGGCTGGGGCTGACGGTGGACCACGTGGCCCCCAAGGTCGGGAAGGGCGAGGTCGACGAGTTCACAATAACCGAAGCGGCGGCAAAGCTGGGGATGAATCTCGATGTCAGGATCCCGGGCGAAGAGAATGCGACGTCGCTGCAGAGAGCCAGGACGATCGCCGCAAAAGCAAAGGGGCTTGGGTTGGTTTTGCCGGAGAAACCGACTGAGGAAGGCGGAGTCGGGACTGCTGTGCCTGGGTTCGCAAAGGCAAGTGCGGCTATGTCTGGAAGTATCGTGGTCGGGACGGGCATTGTAGATCTGACAGCTGAGGGGGAGGCGCAGGGGGCAGGGACGAAGAGGAGAGCGGCTGAGGAGATTGCAGGGGATGAGAAGAAGGCTCGGCCAAACTTTGGGGGGCGAGTAGAGGCTTGGATGAAGGCTGCGTTGCAGAAGTCGTGGGAGCAGGAGGGGGGTAGTGCACAGCAGAGCGGGGAGGAGGGGGAAGCGGGGTCTTCTGCGGACTCGATGGATGCCCTAGGTCAGGAAGGCATGGGGCGTGGAGATGCGGACTTGGGGGTGGGGCTAAGCGGCCTGGTAGTCGGGCAGGTGGGGGTACGAACTGCGGGCAAGGCGGGTGCGGCCGTGACGGAACCCAAGAAGTTTGGGGACGGAATCCTCTTTGCGCGCAAGACCCTGGCCGACCTTCTAAGCGAGAAGGCATGGCTGGAGAAGGACTTGGCGTTCCAGGAAGTGGACTTTCAAAACAAGCACCTGTTCTTCCTGCGCTCGAAGCTGACTGCCAAAGGCGTCATTGACATGTACGACGCGCGGTTGTCGACCAGGATAGTGGTGGCGTATCTGGGCGGGCATGAAAAGGATCTGGCGGCAGTCAAGCAGCCGGTGGGCACGGTGCGTGTTGTTACGCAGAGGCCTTTCCCTTGCGAAAAGAAGCCTCTTGTGGCCGAGTGGATTGAGAGCAAAAACGGGTCCAACGTCGCGGAGGTTAGTCATCTGCTTGCACTTCAAGAGTATCGAAACGGGTCAGTGTCAGTCCCGTTGTTGGCTTACGCATACATGCGCATATTGAAACCGGCAGATGTCAAGTACGTTGTCATAGTGACCCAGCAAAAGTTGGTGGAGCGGTATCTCATGAAGCACTTCCTGTTTCTAGGCTTTGAGTTCATCGAGCAGACAGGGAACGGAGAGTGTGTGCTGGCACTAGATCTGGAGAAGGCGGTGGGGTTGCTGTATGGGCCATGGAGGTTTACCTGACTTGTACAGTAGGAGGCTCCTAGAAGGTTCCTCCACATTGGATAAGGAGAGAGACAATTTTTGAGTCACAGTCAAAAGACATTGAAACTTCATCGAATAGATGTCAACGACGGTTGTTGCTGTTTCGAGCTTTAGCTATTCATATGTAACCGGTCGCGAAGATTTTCTGGTCTGCCGTTTACAATGGTGCCATGCTCAGGATGGAGTGAAACGGTCCCTCTCGTGATAT